AAAAACAATGCACGAGCTTGCTTCCCAATCTGCAAATTTTGGCCAACCCAGCCTGGACGATGAATTGCATATCTATAGAGATGCATGCAAATGCAATACCGAGACCATCCATGTATGGCATATGTACCATTATCCTACATTGGGGTGGTTTCAGGGCTGAATGTATATATATATACCAGGACCCTCCAAGGGGTGTCTATTTATAGCCCCTTAGCTGTTAAGGGGTGTCCATTAACCACCCTTTGGGGGTCCTGGTATATGCCATGTATCTCTGGGAGTCTGGTCAAATTGATGCTCAACGTGTCCACCGTCCACCGTCCACCCTTCTCCCCCGTCCAGTCGCGAAGCGGCGGCCTCCGATCGTGGCGTCCGAGGCAAATTGAACACGCCCATAGCGTGGTGTACCCCAACTCGTTCGGAAGGAAAACGTGATTCTCCCACTCAGTAACTAGTATTCTACGGTTTCTGTCTCTGAGGTTTTGGAAGGGGGTTACCAAGAGACCCCGCTTCGGGGATACCGAGAAACTTGAGGCAACAAAAGCCCTTTCCACCTTCCCAACCATTCAGGAACCCATTCTAGCATATTCTAGCCCGATATAGCCCGATACATCCATGTAGATGTATAATGCACATGTCACATGCATTATGTGTGCACCAGGACCCGCAAGGGGTGGTTAATGGAAACCCCTTAACAGCTAAGGGGCTATAAATAGACACCCCGACAGGAGGTCCTGGTATATGTATATTCGTGTGTGTGTGTAGCTTGGCCACCTACATTCACCTCTTCATATCTTTACATGCAAAGAAAGCAGCGTCCCTTCTTACATGGCCAAGGTACGGCGAATCGCACATGATCTGCACATTCTTTTCGTTCAGGACCTGAACACACCGTTGTAACACCGCGCCTGGATCGGTCAGCGAATCGCACATCTTCCAGGCTCGTGGGTGCAAACTGTCCGTCTGGTTGGGTTTGAGAATTCCAAGATGCCCGGCGTTTTGCTGCATCCCAGACCTGAGTCTGGCAGGAAATATTCCTAGCTCGCCTGTTGGAACTGCCTAGAAGTGCCTAGAACGCCTATATGTTGATCCATCTTCATCCGCTTGGTGGCCTGATCTCCAAATGCCACTTTCGCAGGGAGGGGCAAACATGACTTAGAGACCCACATCACAACGACCAACTTGTTCCGTTCGTCTGAGCTTTCGCACTTCATGACGTAGCCCTTGCTCAGTGCCTGGTTTCACTCGAAACCGACATGGCTTTCACTCGACGGCGGCGACCCTATGGCGCCCAATCAGGCGCAAAGATCTAGAGGTGTTGGAATCGGCTCCCGTGTGGATCTGTAGAAAGGTGCCACCCAGGTCTTTCATTATGCAGCGCATGGCGCATCTGCTCATGTTTGCGGAGCAGGATTCTTCCAGGATGGACATGGGATATGGGGTCCAATAGATGCAACGGGATCAAGCATCTGATATCCTTGGTGCATTTTTGTCTTTGTATATATATAAATACCACACTGTATATAAATATAGACCGTACTGTATATATATATATAAAGTCCAAGGAGAGGGCCAAAAAGAATCTTGCTAAGCCATATTTTAAAGCAAATTGTCAAAACAAAACACTGATCTCTACATCATATATCCCTTCTCTAAGCCTTGTCATCCTTATCATAAAGTTACAGTAAATCTTGTCAGGTCTCAATCTGTTGCACGCCAGTCCCGCTTGGCTGACCTTCAAGGCATAGGTGTCCCCCAAGCCAGTGTGCTCCACCAGCTCGACGGCCCCAAAGCCGCCACAGCCCAAGAGCCCTACACGACGCCTGGCGAAGTCTTGCTCCGGTGACTGGGTGGGTGCGATGTATGGGATGTGATGGGATGGGATGGTATTTTATTAGGCAAACACCCAACCAAGGGGTTTGGACTAGATCAGTTTTTGAGGTGTTTGGGAGTTCTATACACACTCCTGCATGCCCCTTCCTTTGCAGTTAGATACAGTTAGTACGCTCTCACCATACCTTTTGTCACATGAAGCCGGTTGCTGCTATAAGACCTATGTTTTGCCTCCTCTACTGATGGGTATTCAAATAATCCACACACCACCACCACCAGCAGCAGCAGCAACAACAACACCACCACCACCAGCAACAACAACAACAACAACTACTACTACTACCACCACCACCACTACTACTACTAGGACGACGACGACGACGATGACGACGACGGCTACTTCTACTGCTACTACCTCTGCTACTATAGTAATACTGCCTAATACTGCTAACATGATGACGACGATGACAACTACTAATTCTCATGTCATTCTCAATGTTCACCTGGAGCCTGGAGGGCTCATCTCCTGGAGCCTGGAGGGCTACCGTGTACATCTTTCTGAGGCTCCCCACAGGTCCTTCCGTGGGATCAGCCCAAACTTCCGCCCACGCGGCAGGCTGGGTGTGGCCATGGCCGCACTCTTCCCCTTTCACGATGAGGAGTCGAGGAAAGGCGTGGTTCAAGGGGAAAATAGATAATCCCGGCTCTGAATCGCTCCCTCCTCAGCACCGACGAGTCAAAGTGCTGTCAAGTCAATCAAGTCCGTAGCTGAGTCATGACATTCCTCCTGACCCCGCCTAAATTGATCCGGACATTCGCCAAAACATCTACAGGAAACAGGTCCTGGGTGATTGGTTCCCCATGAGCAGCTCGAACAACTCCAACGAAGCTGAACGCTGACATGCTCGTGTTTGGAGGCTAGGTGGTTCTCCGGTGTCTGGTGGGTTGGCGTGCAAGGACAAGGCCAAGAAACATCCTGAACATCTGTACGCCATAGGACGTGAATGGCTTTCCCACCAAGCAACATTCCTCCAGAAACCGCATAATTCCGCTAAAGGAGACAATGATAACAAGCACCTCCAAGTGCATCGCGCCTGTAGTTTGCTCTTGCCTTGTCTGCCTCTCCTCGGTGGACTTGGTACTTGGTGCTTCGCGTGTCGGCATTCAGGGCCCACCCGTGTGGTAAGTCTCCCAATGAGACTGGGCACACCCCCGTGGTAAACACTGCTTACCCTCGAAGTCCCTGAGAACCCAGAAATTCTGCGCTGGATAGGTTGCACAACATGAAGCAAATCCTAATCAAGGCTTCCCTCAAACTCTCTATGTGATGATATCTGATGTGAACATGGCGGACGCACAACCAAGAATTGCTAAAAAACAACTATATACAGTCTAGAGAAACGGGCAGAACACTCTGGCATCCCCTCTTACTTTCCAAGGTCCCAAAAGAGCACCCCACGAGCACACACCCTCGATTCCGAAAGAAACACGGGATTTTCTTAACGGCAACCAAGAACGCAACACTTCCTGAAATCATCATGGGCCAACGTGAATGGCATGGCGCCGATTGTGGCTTACAACCTTCCGAATACCAAACAGGCGGTCCACTTCCATGATGATTTTCAGGAGTGTGTATGAAGTAGAACCCCTCCGTTGACTTGGATTTGCTTAAGGAACCTGGAGGGACTCACCAAAGGGGAAAACAACTCCGAGCAAAACAGCAAGTAAAGGAAGGATGATCTTCGCAACCTCTTGCGACAGCTTAAACATTACTAAGCCAAGTGGTGGACACCGCCGTATTCTTGTGGCCACACTTGCTTTGCAAATGCCATAGCATCATAACATCCACTTCCCTGGAACATCTGCCGGAAACCACTGCTTTGTAGAGAAACCATAAGACACACCCCCAGCTTCCTCAAGTCTACACCCTGGTGGCGACGATCCCATGGACCCTGCTTCACCACGTCGGTTGGGGACCCGGAAAACACGGACGGACCGTGGGGGCCCAGGACGGACTGTCGGGGTCAAGCTGTGAGTTGACTCGGGAGTCAGACGTTTCCATCCGAGTGGCGTCTGCAGCTCCTCCAAGGGCCCCAGGATCATATCGAAGGATTGCCGATCCACCGTCAAGGTCTGTTCAACATCGCACGCGCGTGAGTGACCGGAGGAGTGGGGAGTGAAGCTAGAGTCAACTGGTTGACTGTGAGGGAGTTGGAGGGTTGGATTCCAGGAAGACTTCAGGCTTCAGGATCGGACCATTCCCCATCACCTTACAGGATAGATCCTCAAACCGATCCTCACACATCAGTTCCGATCCTCAAACATCTTGAGGATAGATTCGATTCTAGATCTCCATCACATATAACTCAGGATTTCTCACTGTTAAACAGTGACAAACATCTATATATGGGTTGACAAAACCACATACCTCCTCAAACCACACATCTATATCATCCTCAAACCACCAAAAAGAAGGGTTGACAAGTTGACAAACACCCTCCAGGATCCTCCAGGACCCTCCACCCGGAACTGGAACGACCACGCACGACGCGGCGCTCTCACCAGCTTTTGAGGAGTCGCGGAGCCGGTCAAACACGGTCCTCCTCGTCCGCTTTGCCTTCATCCACCACCCAACAAGACTTGCGCAACGAGTGCAGCCCATGTTCCATTCCCTTTCACCAGAGTGTTAGTGACTCAGTGTATACGATAGATCTCAACTACAACAGGGATCACTCCACTTAGGATTTGCTTAAGGAACCTGGAAAAAGACATCTCCAGGAGATTGAACCATGCCCAAACACTCCATGTATGTCACATATGTCTACATTGTGGTGGTGCCAGAGGGGTCAATGGGGCGGCATATATGGCAGTCCCATGGAGTGTTTGGGATGAAAACTCCATGAGGATGAAAACTCCACTCCATGAAAACTCCATGTAGGCATATATTCCATGAAAACTCCATGGAGTGTTTTGGAGTGTTTGAGATTGAACCGTGAAAACTCCGCAAAACCGGGTTCAAGGAACGGGTCCCCTTCCGTGGCCTTGGCCGTCTCCGAAAGCACCTGCAAGGTGGCCTGGCGAGACTTTCGCAGAGACGAGTCTCGGTGAGTTCAAATCAGTGTGGGTGTTGCCAAAGGGTTTTGGAAGTGGAGTGAGGACATGCATATACATGCATCACCTTTCGACTGTCGGACTGCATTTCAGTTTCAAAAGGTCAATGATTGGCGCGCATCTGATCATTCTCAAGTCGAGCAGGATCTGCTACCGTAAATGTTGCAAGGCAAAACAGCCACAACTTAGGGCCACAACCATGGAGGGCAATATGTATCGCAATGTGCAGCTCGCCCTGATATGGAATGTGCCGGAGATCGATTCAGGGCAGCTGGTGAACAACTCCCAGCCCCCCAGTCTTTTCAGAAATCAAATGAATGTGTCCACCATTGAGCCCGCACCCAATCCAAAACCTGAACCCGAGGAAAAAGACATGTTGGAGTGGGTCTTAAAAGAACATATGTTTGGGTCTTACCTTGATGTGATTGATGTCTATATCAAATACAAAAAACAACGCTTGGGCCACCACACCAAGGGGGTGTCTCGCTCTCCAAGCGGCTTCCCCGGATGGATCTCGGGTCCCCGGGCATTCCGCGGCTCGTTGTTCAGCAAGGCGCGCTCGCCTCGGTGCCATTCGGAGGGGCTTAGCTCGGAGGAGGTCGACATCTGGGCGCATTCGGTCAAGTGATGGCCTTGTTGGGCTGGCCTTGTTGGGGAAGGTTTTCTTGATTTTGAAGAAATGTCCTTTGGTTGTGTCTGAAAATATCCCTTAAAGATGCCCAGGTTATATAAAAATCAACATGAGCGGTTTTTTGACGTTTTTTGAAGGGACCCTTCGAATAAACCTCCACGGTGTCGCACGCAAAAAAGAATTACCAGGTCGCACCTGTTGCCAGATCTGGCAAATGGGCGATTTCTCTCCCCAACGACCCGACCGCGGCTGCGCCGGGCGTCCGCGCCAAAGAAGGAGGCCTTCTCGGGCGTGGCTCTGAGACGGGTCACCTCGCGGCCGTCCTTGATCACGCTGACCTGCGGGGTTCATGTCATTGGCCCATGGACGCGGAGCAGCGTCTCTCGTCCGGACACGGAGTGGAATGGAGTGGAGTGGAGTGGAAATCCCCCAAAACGTCTGAGATGTTTGAGAAGCACCTTTTGAGCTTGGCACCCAGATCGAACAATGTATAGGCATCCCGAACATTTACCATGGCATGACCCACACATCCTTCCTTCTCTTGTTCCAAGGTCTTCCAAAAGAAAACTTTGTGGACATGAATGGATGGCATCATTCTGCCTGCCACATGGGCCTTAGATGAACATACGCAAGAGTCAGCAAGAATTAGCCCAGCCTAATTTTCAGGTCACAGTCTGTTACTGTTCAGGAGTTCCAGGTGTAGTGTATAAATACCCCAACAAGCCACACAGTATCTCCTGCCTGTCCCTCGATGAGAATGTAGAAGGCATCACCTGCATCTTGGCAGGAACTCAAGCCCCTACCAATTCCAAAGCCTTTAACATTTCACCGTCGACCCCGGAACGCAATACAGTTTCTGGGCACCCTACATCTTCCCATGGGTTTCGGCACAGGGTTCTTCACCTGGTTCTTCCAGTTTCTATGATCTGGTTCTTCCTGGTTTCCTGTGCTTGTCTGGTTCACCGGGGGGGGGGGCTGTTTGTGACAAAAAAACACTGCGCACGTTCAAGACTTGGAATTTGCTGTCCAACCGGACAGCAGAGGTCACCTTCCCTCCGAACCGGGAAGGTCAAGATCATGAACCATAAAACATCACCAAAACTCAGTTCTCAACCGCCCAAAACGGAGGAACCAACGATCGGTGCTGTCCATGTCTCGACAATCAGTCACTTCAACGGGATGGGTGTGAACCAGGTCCGGTCGAACATATGTTTGGGTCACCGGTGACTGGGCCTTCCAGCTGTTGCGATGTATATAATGGTATGTCTACATGTGTATATATTATATATGTATATTTATTTATTTACATATGTTTACAGTTTACATAAGTTTACAAATGTTATACTTATATAAATGCTTATTGAATGTAGGCTACATGATATATGCTTACAAGTGAACGCGATGCACCACTTTGGTCTCGGTAGTGCCTGGCGTCAGCAGCGGGATGAGTCTGAGAAGCCCGAAGGATTCAAATGGATGTCAATCTCGGATAGTTACTGATCAAGATTCAACTTCAACACAAATTACAACAAAAGTGCTCAACCACACCCCAAATTCTCCAAATGGCCTTTCTCACCCTGCTGGAAGATGACCTCGCTCTTGGTGAAGGTCCTCAGTGTACAATGCTGGGTGGCTAGTCCAAAGGCTTCCGATTGACGGCGCAGCCTTAGTGAAAAAGTCTCCGCCAAAACCACAAGTCTTCCAATTGCAAGGTCATGTTCCACTTCCATGTTCTGTGAGCAGGAGTGTGGAATGCCTAAAGGCTAAGTCGGCTAAGTGCTGTGCATCTCAGTCAAACTACGGCCAAGAGCGGCTTTCTCTTCTTCCTGCGCAGCGCAGGTGCAGCATCAGATTGAGAACTGAAACACCTTGGAGAACCCTCCACGAGAAACGCTCCGCCTGCAAAGGTTGGAGTAGCTCCACCTGGTGAAGCCGAGAAAACGACGGCGTCGGTCCTTCGAAAAAGACACGCAACAGCTAGTAGAGCAAACAAGTCAAATTTTGATCGGGGAAGGACTTCGACAGAGCACATAAAATCAGTTGGAGCAAGCCAGAGCAACAGCTTTGACTAGGAGGGTCTTATTAAGAAGAGGGGAAGAGTTAAGGCAAACAGAAATTGGAGATTGAACGTATAAGCGGGAAACGCTGATGAAGAAGCTCCGCTTGTATCTTGTCTAGCTATATAACTTTATTGTTGATTCTAGCTCTTTCTATCCGCATTTTTTCCTATATTTGATTCGCAGTATTGTTGGTACAAATTGCAGACTTCCAAATGTAAGGCCAAAAAAGCTAAGCAACAAATAGGTCAACCTGGCCCAAAAGAACAGGAAGACGAAGCACATGCTCGTATAATTAAGAAAGCAGGAGGAGGCAAAATAAGATGGTGCAAATCAATTTGCACAACTATAAGAACATCAAAGCTTAATAGTAATTAACACACGTAGCCAAAAAGAGGCGATGAACTAAATAAGAATGGGAACAAGTACCAAAGACAATGGAATAGAGTATATGTCCTGCATACTGTTTGTAGCAATAAACGGTAAACTAAACGCGAAGGAAAAACTAAATCCGAGATGGGACAGGATAAATAACTATTATAGCAGCTCAAGGACACTCCGCAAGACGGTACTGGATAACTAGCACACGATAATCAAGAAGGAGATCAAGAAGAAAACAAATCAAACAGGGAAGCAGCAAATCAAGATTGCCAAACCTCAGCAATGACATTTACAGGCTATTGCCAGACTATGGGCCAAGCCAGCTCATACGTGAATGTACAACTAGAAAGTCCGTTCTTTGATCTTGAATCAACGTTCTCCCTTTGTTTCTATTGAAGGACGTCTTCTGGCTGTCTCTAACCACATCTGTTCAACAAACTGGCTCATCCTAACTTGGTCCTTTCCAGCCCTCGGGACTCATGTGGATGTATCCTGATGAAGGTGTACTTACTGCTGGGGTTGCACATATTGCATGCAAGTAACAGGGATGCCAATGATTCGCAAAGATTTCATTTAAGTTGTATGCTTTGACATCAACCAACTCTCTCCTTCAATAATGTAATAATGTAGATCCTGGACAGGTCGCTGGGATCGCTTGGCATATATATATATATATGATGAGAACCCACATGAATGCGAACAACAACTAACTATAGGAATTCCACACTGAATTCCACATGGAACCATAGAATGATCTCCACTACCAGCTTTCATCCAGCTTTCATCCTCCTAAATCCAACAAAACAACTGGACCGGTGTTGAGGAGGCCCGTGTGTGTGGGCTTCCAGCTGGCGGAAGGCCCTCCCACCTTGTCCAAATACTTCACATACTCCTCCGCTTTCGCGGTGGAGGACTCTGCCAGAATGTCCTTCCAAACACTCGTCGCGCGGGCGTGCAGGTCTGTCCCACCCAGTGCGACAAAAGTAATTAGACGACTCTGATGAATTGCTTGGTCGATTGATGCGAGGTTCGGCTGTTCATCCCCTGTGAGGTTCGCCCCAGATGGTCATCTACACGACTTGGGAAGACAAACAGGTCTGCCCTGAGAACCCGGGCCCTCAAACAAATAGGGCCCAAGGATTCAGGGGAGGCCTTGACCCTCCCCATGGAGTTCTCCGAAGGGGCAGCTTTCAATTTCAATTCCGGTCACCACTCAAGGGACGATTTGGTGGGATGACCGTGCCCAACACCTTTCAATGACCTTTCATCACTTCCCGTGCCCAGGGGGTGTCAAACACATCATAACAAGCCTCCCCGAACGACCAAAACATCGACCAAAACGATTCTTATACGGACTCTTATACAGCATAACCCACTCCAACTGATCCCGCGACCCGCTCGATCTCCCCGGTCCCGTCCTTGAAGTGCTTTCGGTCGATGACCCATACCAGGGAGGCCTCGCGTGCCTTGAAAGGGCAGCCCCCAAGCAAACCGAGGGGGGACCACAAGGGAAGGGGTGAAAAAGCTTGACTTACCAGGTATATACTAGCAAAGACTCGGAAAGCTCACTCCTCCAAATTCTTAGCAGAATTTCCTTTTGTGTCAAGTGATTTGAGCTTTGACTCTTGCCAAAACCACTTCACACATGGGGGGATAGAGGTCTTTCCCGACGTCAAGGTCTCTCATCTTCAGTCCTGGAACATCGTCAAAACCGGGTCGCTCATCAGCGCGTGCTCGTGCTTGTGCGAGAAAGACCCAACGAGCAGCACAGCGGACCTACCTGGACCTGAACACCGGGGTGTCCTGTCGGTCCCGGTAGTAGTGGGCTGGGGCGAACCCAGCCAGGTGACCCATGAAGATGCTGGTAGATCTATTGCATTTTTGTGATCAGCTTTGCAAGGATCATGTTGGACTGTTAGGGAATGGTCAGGCCATGTCAGACCCTTCACTTGCTTGGACACTGGGGTATGCTGAGTGTGGCTACAATGTCAGCAACTGCATTTGTGCGAGATCAAACTGATCAAACGGCGGCAGCCTAGTATCCGCAAAATAACTTCAACGGATTTTAGATGTAGACCACCCTTATTTGGGATTTGGACAAAACTCATGAGTAAAGTGTAGTATCTGTATATATATAACTCTCCGAGGATTTTGCCTTCAAACATTCACATGCTTTACAGTGCCTAAATGCGTGGGGAAACAGCCAGAGGATTTGGGCGACGAGCAACTTCTTGACATCCACCCGGCCTTCCCTACTAGCTGCAGCTACTAATGAATACATCTAGCTGCAGGGTTGTTTGAACATTGCGGATGTTGCTCTCATCTAGTTCGTTCCCTGGACATCCCAGTCAAACCCCCAATTCCAACACCTAGTAAAGGTGGACCAAGGGGGTCAAACACCTAGAGACCACTGGAACGACTTGCTCCGGTCGCCTGGATCGTGGCTGCGCGGGGAGCGAAGTAGAGCAACGCGAGCTCTCCAAAGCTCCCACCTTTGCTGATGGAGCCCACCTCACACAGCAAGATCGGTCCAGTTCTCCAGATCGGTCCATCAAGATCGGTATATCCCATTACCAGTGGATGAGGATGATGATGATGATGATGATGATGATGATGATGATGATGATGATGATGATGATGATGATGAGTTGCACAATTAGTAAAGGTCTTTCTCTAAAAGAGTTATCATCTTTTACCGACTGTTACTGGTAATGGGCTACACTCTACAAGGATCAACAAACCGGTGGTAAAGGACAACACCAAGGCAATCTTGCTGAAGCTGTGCAATATGATTAGCAGGTGTTTACAAAACACACAGCACTATACTTTGAACCAGGTGCATCAAAATGCTGGTAGAGGGCCAACGACATCCCTTTGCTAAACCGGTGGGAGCCCCAACGCTGAGTTTCTCAGCCCATCCGTTCCGGGGAGTGCTTCGTCTCTGGTGGCGCAAAGAGTCCAGCTGTGGCGAAAGGAGGACAGCATAAGTCCGCAAAGCTGGAGGCCAACAAAACATATCATGGTTCGAGAATAGATGGCACAAGGGGGTTTCAAGTTCGGTGGTTTATATGGATCCCCATCTAAAAGACCTCTTCGGGTGTGTGTGTGTGTGCCATTTCTCACCTCTGATGGCCCACTGTACGGGCCAAGCTGGGCCAGCGACCATCGACCGCCAAAGGGCCGACGGTTGGAGGGAGAAAGCGTCAAGGGTGGGGCGGCCTACCCTTGACACTTCTTGTTGAAGGGGAAGATCTACCTGCAAGCCCTATAGTAACCTAGGAACCCTGATTTTACAAAATCTCAATGCCCATTCTGAGCCATTCTGTGAAATCCTGCGGCTCTACCTGACATGACATGCTATCCCAGGAGTTGTTATTCTTATTCTGAAATAGTGGGGTCAACCCACAGGATTTCAGTAGGGCGCAAGCAACAGGGATTATGTAGCTGCTAGCTGTTTCAAAGGGCTGGAGCACTGTGCCATGACGAATCTTGCCCCAAGCTCTCAGTACCCTCCCTCCAACCTACTTTTTCCAGTGTACCTGTCCCCTGTAGAGAAGCATCGCCTTTCTAGTGAGCAAACCCTGGAATCCTCTAACACTGGAGCACTAGCAAAGGTTTTAACTTGGACTGATCACTATGATCACAACCAGAAGTTGGACAACGGTGTTTATAGTAACATGTGTATGTGTTATGGTCAATTTAAACCATCATTGTTGTTCTTCCATGCTTGGACATGCAAACTCCCTATGTCATGGCTCACTTCCATACCCTACCATGGTCACCACAAGCAGCACCCAAGCCCTTGATCCACAAAAAAAATAGACAAATCTATACAATATATATATATATGTATGTACTAATATATATATATATTAAAATAATATATAACAAATATATATATATATAATACTAAAACATTGTATAAACAAACATCCCAACACGGCCAAGAAGGGAGGTTGCTATATCAGGGACTACTTAGGTCACATCTGGGAAGCTACCACGGCCGGGCCGCCTGTCTGGGAGCCCTGACCGTTTGGGGGCCCC